TTTGGACATTAAAGGTAAGTATTGAGCTGCAAAATAAAACTTGTAACAAAATAACATAAAATTTTAGCTACCTATTTTAATGTGAAAATAATGCTAGTTTCTTATTTCTATTCAGTCTTGTGATATTTTACAATAATTAATAAACGGAATACAGCATAGAAGTCTGATAACAGTAGCTTACCAGTGAATCTTGAAACCCTTTCGAAAACTTTTTCTATCTGCATCTTTCATTAACGGCTAAGCTCATTCTGATTTGATAACCGTTGTATAACTGTAGAAAAAAAAGTGATTAAAAAATAAATAAATAAATGTATGATAATTGAAAATAGAAACTGATTTAGATGAAAAACATGCGTCATTATTCGGCGACGAAAAACCGGGTGGACTTTTTGGTATCAAAACTCAACGGGCACATCGAAGTGAACATCTTCGAATGTTTTATCATTGCCTCGTTTGGAAAGCGCATATGTAAGCAAATATTGAATACTAATTAATGTAACGATCAGATTGCATTATTGTTGAATATGAGTATTACTTTCTTAGAATTTTGACTTTTTTTCTGTTTTATGATTGAAAACTAATGTACTGAAGCAGTAGTAACAGAAGTCGACCTTAACTGTCAATAAATAAAGCAGTCCAGCTGAAAGTTCCAATGTTAGTAAATTTAAGTGTGCTATTTAGCTCCTAGCTATTACTCTATTAGAAATTTTCCAAATAACCTAAATTTTGCTCAAACGATACCTATAAAGTATGCATTCTGTGCAACGTACAACAAAATGCTCTTTTTTTGAACAAGAAAAGCAACAAAATACGGGAAGGCTCTGAAATGTGGCAGAATAAGATTGAACATGAATAGTGTCACAAAAGATGTCAAAATTTTCCTGAAATCAGTTTTTGGATTAACATAATGTTGGCGCTTTATTGTTGGAAAAAAGTGGTGATATTATGACAGAAATCGAAAACCAACTTACAGGAACACATACAGTTCATAACGATTTCATATATGAAAGAGCTATTTATTGTATCTGTTTCATAACCGTGTAAAAAAAAAAACAATCTTAAAATAGTTACCAAAAAATTTTCAGATATTATTTAATATATAATTTTAAATTAGCGATTATTCTATCGAAATGATTGCGAAAAGAGATTTGCAAATTTATAATTGTAAAATGCACAGTGTTTCTTGGGAACAGCAAGAAAAGCAGCTTATATATGTTTCTGCTGTTTAGTTTGAATAAACAAAAGCATTCACTTTTTTGACATCTGATTTAGGTGGTATTCAGTTGCTTACTTTAATACTTTGTTGTAAAGTAAAAATTTCAGATGGTTCTGAGGTGTGACGAAGACAATTTTAGCAAAACAAATTGTTTGTTTTTAAGGTTTGAAATTGACGACTATGCGACGGCACAAAATCTGATCAAAAAGGAATGCTACAATTGGCCCCAAATGCAATTTCAGTTTGCCTGTGCATATGCAATGTTGGACCTTCTGAAAGACAAATACCGTTTTGATGCTATTCGTCTTAAAGCTTTTTCGTCAGTTTTTTAATGGTTTTTTTTTTTTACCAATTCACCAATCTTTTACAGTTTATCATTTATAGGAAAAGTTACTGCTTTTAAACTAATTACAATCTTTTTGTTCTTTTTTTTTTTTGACAACACTGAAACATTATATACAGTACATTGGTATCTTAAAAATTGTTTGAAGATTACTTCTTTTTCTCAATTATTTTATTAAAGAATTTCTTTTTCTGCACAGATTAATACTACTAATAATTAATCTACCAATTCAAAATAGTTCTTTAGAAGATTGTTTGTGACTTTAAAAAAAATTTTTAACCGAAATTTATCATCATTATTTTGGCATTCTTTTTCTAATTAATAAATTTTTCTTAAAACTTAACAGCTATGTTAGTTTACAGTATCCTCTTTTACATCATAAATTTTTAGATCGCATAATTTAACAGTAAAAAAACTCTTAATCCTGCTTTGTTGTAAATTTATTCATCAAAAGAGCAAACTTTAAGCATAAAATAATTTCAGTTATTCCAAAAATTTTTTTTCAAACTAACTTAAACAATTAAGAAGTTCTAAAGCTGTCAATTTTGAAAGTTATTTTAGACAATTATTATTGTAAGAATTACTCTACAGTAATGTTATGGTTTAAAAAACGGTTTTAAAAGAAAGATATTTTTAAAGAAAATATTTTCAGCAAGAAACTTTCTGACCATTGTCTGTATAGCTTTTGGATAACTATCCTCAGCAGTCCAGTTGCTTGGGAAAGAATGTTCAGTTCGGATGCTTTAGCACCAAAACAGATGCTTTCTTTGGTGTTTCAATTTGCAATTCTAAACGGATTTTTTGAACTGATGAATTTTATTTGGGAAAGAGTTACAAACGCTCAACGAGAGTACATCGGTACGACAATTTGCTTTAGTTTCTTTTTCTTTTTTAATTTCAGCTTATTCAACAAAAATGTTCAAACACTCTCAGATTTTAAAGTTAAATCTAAATTTTTTGATCATAAATGAAGCAAACTCTGATACTGTTTTTCTTATTAGAGCTATAATAAAGAGCGCTGTCTAAGCCAATAGGGTTGTTCTTTGTCTGTATTGCTAATGCTTAGAAGAAAAAGTTTCAGGAATATTGCAGTGGGGAAAAATTTGCTTCAGAGCCAAACATGGATCTGTGCTGCGTTTCCTCTGTGATCAGCTGTGCGAAATCAACTCAAATACGCTGGTTCGGATCACTTGGAATGCCTTTTACGATGCATTACATAAGTCTATCCAGGTAGGTACACCACATTATTTATTGAAACAATCTGTCTTACTCTTATTTAGAAAAACATTCAGAGGTAAAATCATTTTTGAAGACATCTAATTAGAAAAAAAAATGAGCTAATAAAATCAAGAAACTTTGGAGGCAAAAAAGTAGAACAAAAATATCGCTTTAATACAATTTGAGCTGAGAATTTTCCCAAAAAGTTGTTTATTTTGAACAGTAGTGCTGCAAAAATTGAGAAAGTCGTCGTAAAAAGTTTCAATTTTGTTATAATTACAAAAAAATTTTAATTATTGAGAATCTTTTTTAATGAAGGGAGCGAACAATAAACGCAAACGAGACGACAACCTCAGAAAAATGGAGTTTCTTTTGGAGCACTGTTGTCCACGTCTACGAAAATCAATGCTTTCGCTGGAAAACTTCAAGTTGTTTTTTTGTTGACTAAAAAGCATATAGTTTTTGTTTTACAATAATATTAAACCATCTAGTTATAATTTCAAAAATTGGATAAGAACAATTATGCGCAATTATCAAACAAATCTTGAAAATGTCAAGAAATTTTTAGAATTATAACCGATGCTTATGCTTACAACCAAAACGACGCATTTTCACTGCTATTAGATTATTTGAGCGAAGACCAACTGCAATTAGCTCGACAGTCTACAAATCGTATTTACAGTGAAAAGAAAGAAGAATTTGCTGTACATTGGCGTAAAATGGTCTTTGAACGGCAGCAAACAATTTAGTGAAAAAAATTAGTGAAAACTTTACGGCTTTGATGTATAAATCTATTTGTATCAATACAGATATACTGTATATTTATGACCAGCTATTGAAAAATATTTTGAATTTTTTCTTACTTTTAACACAATAAAGTCATTATTCCTAAATGTAACTTTCAAATAGCATTAAAAAGACGATAAATAGATGAAAAATAAGGTTAAAAAAAAAAAAAAAAACGGTGAGTTCCTTTATTTTCTTAGAGATTTTCCTTTTTTTTTCCCACAACGAGCAACTAAGGCTTTGATTAGTGTAAGAATTTTTTTTTTTTTTACAGGATAAACAGAGTAGAAATTTTAGCTGCTTCTTCGCTAATAAACCTAATTTGTACTTAACACTTCACCTGCACTCTGTGGATTGATAATCAAATAATTTTGCAAAAAGAAGCCAAAAATGTTTCTGCGATTTATATTTTTTGTTAATTCACTGTGAGCAATTTTATTCTAAGTGAAAATCTTAAAATTCTAAACGTTCTGCAGAATAATTGGTTTGGTTTCCTTATTTCTTTTTTTTTTTTTTATACGAAAAACCGAGAAATTTTTCACAGTCACTGTAATGCCTCGAAGAACAAAAAATTCAATTCTAAACAATGCACTACTCAATTACCACTTTTTACAAAACTTCTTTAGCAGAAAAAATTTTTATCAGAATATTTTTTTTTTTTCAGAATCAGTCTATCACTTTTTTACAAATAAAATAGCCTGAACTTTGTACGGCATCATATGCACCATATAATTGGGAACTTTAAGTGGCAAAGCTAACATAATAACAGTTCCCAATCTATGTTTAAAGTTGACATAAATAGACCTTTCACTTTATGTATTACTTTTTAATTATACCAGGTGATATATAAAAAAAGAAACTTTTTTTTTTTGTATAAAGCTGAATAATAAATGCACCATGAAAAATTTAACATGATATAGGTGAGAAATTTTTAAACTATTTCTTAACATATTTATTGTAGGTATATTTTCAATAATGTTCTGCAGTAAATTAAATGCATTTAGGAAATCATTATAGCATCTGAAGCATAGACAGAAAGTGTTTTTTTTTTTTGCTTAATATTCAAAAAGAGTACATTATACGTTAACCTACTTAACACTCGATTATACTAGTCAAAAAAATGACAAGAATAATTAAGTTTTACAAAAAAAAGTGATATGTTTTTAACTGACAACAAACGTACTAGGAAAAAAAGTATATACATATTACTGAGAAGGATAATTTTCAAGAACTTAGATAGGCCTACTGTTTGCCGGTCTAATTGTCTGAGAACTTTTTTAGCTTCAATGTGTTAAGATCAGACTGACCAAAATTGGCTCAGAATTCGTTAAAGCTAATGATTTGCAGCATTAGTGTTGCTGAAAACTTTAACACCTCTAAAAAAACAATAACTGATCGATCTTTTCAATATGACTGTTAATAATGCCTAACAGCGTTTTTTTTTTT